GAATCATCTAGTAATTATGATACAAAAAATTATAATTTAATTGAGTTGTAATTGTAAATAAAGATTCACTTTTCATTTACAGTAATTAAAATCAAGGTCAAGTATCTTGTCATGATATAAATAAATGGACAAAAAAATTGCAGTCAAGAATTACTTCATGCCCAAAATGATCTCAACCATCTGATTAAATCAAATATCCCCAATGAGAAGACGTGGTGGAGCTTGATTCTTGGTATGAGAGGTCTTCCACGTTGATTCCGGCCAACGTCTCGTCTCGTCTTTTCAGCTACATCTTCTTAACCTTCCAACCACTTTATTTATTTATTTATTTTTACCAATAACGCATGTTCTTAATTGTACCAATTCTTTTTTTATGCCAATCACGTGTGGATAATGTTGAATGCTCTCCTAACCTCTCACCCACAGGTAAAAGAAAATGGAAGCATGTCTGTTCAAATCAAATGTACTTTGATTTGAATATTATATATATATATATATATATATATATATATATATTGAGAGAATATAGCATGTAATTAAAATCAATCTTGATTTATAAGAACAAGTCGTTGTCACGGTGATTGTTGCGATGGGTTCAGATGTCTTGCAATGGGACGGAAATACAAATGATTAATCTGTGCTTGAGTAATGGGAACAATAGCTAGATTCCATCCTTCCATTGGGTGGTCTGATTAAATTCTCTTATGTGTAATTATTTTGCCTTATTTCAATCCATGTAAAAAGTGATTTTTTATATATTTTTACATACACTACTTTGATGTGTTTAAGATTCCTAACTTAGCCTAAGTGCATGTATTTAATCCTTTAAGATAATGTATTGGTTTAAAAATTATAACCCTATCTTAATCATTGTGACTAGGAGTTTTATAACAAGTCAGGTATGCATCTAATTTCATACGAAAGAAGGAAATAGAATTGGAACAGAATGAAATTGGGAATAATATAGAATTAGAATAGAATATAATAGAATGATCATTCTTATTCTATTGTTTGGTTACAAATATGAACTAATTATGTAGGAATGAAAGGTTGTGACACTGGTGGAAAGATGTGAAAGAAGGTGGTGGTGGCAACAGCAGAAGGCCGCGATGGCGAAAGGCCGTGGAGGCGGCACTGCTAGAAGGACAATGGTAGTTTTTGGACTTGGATAGCGATGGCTTTTTTAGAAATTTTATTTTTTGAAATTTTTTATGTAAGATCATTTCATTAGTTTAGATATGAAATGGATTTTCATTAATGAATTTGGGAATGATTTTTCTTACTTTTAAATATAAATAAACAAATACAAAAATAGTTAGAATGAATATTTCATTCTATTCTATTTCACTATATTCATGCATACCAAACTAAGCCTATACATAATTGATCTCTTAATCATGAGTGAACAAAAAATTTATCAACCCTAATATGATTGTTATGATTTTTTAGTAATTACCCTTTTTATATTTAAATTATATTTACCTATTTAGGATGATAAAGACTACGTGGCAGGACTATCATCCCAAGTGATCCAACCGAGGTACGTGGCAAGACTATATGTAGACGCAAGACTACGCACACAAAAGTATACATCTAGTTAGGATGATAAAGAAGAATTAAGTCTACTAAAAAATGTAATTAATTAAGAAATTGGACATAAGAGGACAAATCAATTGTGACAAGTCTATTCAATGTGATTAAGAAAATTATAATGATAATAATTAGACTTTAATAGTGCACTAACACTTGAATAACCCATTGATTAGTCCAAAAATAACGGAAAGAGTGAAGCATCTAATTAGGATATTGTTGGCGCAATCAATGGCACAACATTTTAAATGTCGGTTTCTTGTTTTTTGTCTCTTGTTTTCTTTTCAGGTGTTTTGAATCTGATATATATATATATATATTTTGGAGTGATTAAAAATTTAAGAAGCTGATATTAGCAATATATATAAATTGAAATGATTAATAATTGAGGGAGCTCATTCTACAAATATACTTTGCACTCCATCTTCTTATTTTAGTAAATCTATGATCAAACTATCATTTTAATATTCAAAATCAATTGTTCTCGTCCGTCCTGTTTTCTTGTGTTGCAATTTGTTCACTCATGTTTTTATTTTTTTTTTAATTGAAAATTCTCTCACTCCTCGAGCAAAAACTTATTAGTGTTAGAAAATATTGAATCGCATGGAAAAAAAAAAAAAAAAATTAGTTAGGAGCTTGCTGTTATAGAAAAATTCGAAAAAAATAAAGATATGATTTGTAAAAAATTAGACTAAAAAGATTTCATGTCTGTGTGAAGATACACCCCAAAAAGTCAAATCCTTTAATATTGGCGTGGCTGTCGTCTCCACCATTGCTGTTTCTTCACTCTTCTTTTGTATTGAATTTATCATGCGTATTGGATTTGGATATAATTTCCAATATTTTCAAAAAATTACTTATACAACATAGAAATAATTTTTTTTATTTTTTATTTTTATTATTCTTCTTCTTTAGTAGCAAACCTGCAACACAATTTCTTTTCTATTTGATTTAGTACTTTTTAATACCAAGATGAAGTTTTAGCAATAAGATAAAGAGAGTTTTCATTTAAAATAAAATAAAAATAAAATAGAGATGGAGAACCTTCACACAAATGTTGAAAATTAAAAAGATAGTCTGGTCATTGTATTTACTAAAATAAGAAAATAGAGAGTTAGAGTATATTTTTGAAACGCCAATGATAACACGGGTTCTAATAATTCAATACGGGATATCATTTCTGACACAGCTATTTCCAACTTATTGTGATTTGATCATATTATCATTTCATCACAAGAACAACTGGCATAAATGTACAACACATACATTTGAGGGAATTAATTATCTAGAGAGGCCATATATCAATTCATTTCTCATCAAAAATGGTAATAAGTACCAAATGAGGTGACTTAAACACCATTTTGTTGTCGACGGCAGATTGGACCAAAAGCCTATCGACTCTCATTAATCATTTATAAATACTATTTATTGAAAGAAAATTGACAACAATAATCGGGTCTGAAACAACGTTCACATCTCTCAATCGTTGAATAGTATAGCAACTAATCTTTTTTAATTATTTATTTTACCAATACAACTGAAAACAATGATAGAAATTGAAAGGACGGTTCTAATTCAATCCTTGAATAAAGTTGATCTTCTTTATTTACTCATTTCACACTTAATGCACATTATTCGTGATAAAATCCAAAAAAAAAAAACATTATTCGGGATTGTAATAATTGTGACAGAAAGATTTGATTGGCAATAATTTATATATAGCATGAAGCTCAACAACAATCATTATAATCATGAACTCGGTAGGCATTCAAATTCATTTTGACTGTTATTTTAATAATTCTTAATAAAATGATTTCCTATTCCGTAATTTGTTTGTTTGTACATTATACATGTTAAGGTACTATTTAGTGGTTCTTTTAAAAACAATTTTGCTTTTTGTTTTTTTAATAGATATTGAGTGCGTCGAGTGCACGAGCCCATTCGAGCCGTACGTGCTCAACACACGTCGGATGAAGCTGGTGCACGGTGCGCACCCAATACCTTCTCATGTTTTTGAGAATGGGTCTTAAGTAAGTTGCTTCATTTTGAATTCTAAAAATCAACAGTTTGAATCATAGAATTCACAAGTTTAAATTGGGAAAATAATTTTTTTGTATGCCAGAATAAGATTGTGCAGATCTAACATTTTTCAAATTCTGCAACTAACCCTACATTTATTTATTATTCTTTATTTTTTTATTTTTTTATTTTTTTTTTAGCGAATGGAATATACATACATTAAGAGAAACTTGTTAATACCAAATGCTCCAAATAAGGGTGTCTTGGGCCGAATTGGGCAGTGCTGGAATTTCAATAAAACGCGTATTATGGCTTTTCTTGGCTGGAAACTTTGGGCCCATTCAAAATTTGAGTCAGAATTCAAGCCTGTCCTGGTATAAAGATTATTAATTATTCTACATATAATATGATATATATGTATAGAAAGAATGCTTTATTAATGAAAATAATCTGCTAAAAAAAAAAAGAAGAAGAAAAAAGCTTGAGTTATTCTGCATTTACAAATAAACCCCTAAACTATAATAAGTTTGCAAATAACCCTTCTTCATCATCAAGTTGATGAAATTACATATTACCCAAAATATAGCACATTTTTGTCTATTTTTAACAGAAAAATATAACCCTAAACTAAAAGTACTCGTTTTTTTTTTTTGTCATTTCCAAAAAGTAAATGACAAACATAGCCCTGTTTTCTTGTTTATGAATTCGTCCAGTTAGAGTGAAATACATTTGATTAAAAAGGAATCAGGCTCTCAATATAAAAGGTCATTTAATATATATATATATATGTCTCCATCTAAGTAAAAACTGAATGAGACAATTCGATTTACTAGAACATATATCCAAAAGTATCACTAGTATTTAATTTTTCATCCATCCAAACATGCAGAGGGTTACTGTTTTTTTGTACCCAATTTATCTACATTTTCTAAAAGACAAGGACATTAAAATTATGAGTTGACACAATGAAAGAAATGAAGGATGTGATTTTGACGTTCCATGCTTTTTGGTATGTTTTTTTTGATAAGTACTCCATGTTTTTGGTAAAATAAACCTTCCTGCCTAATTACTGGCAAAATTCAACACCATAATAACCTTCATTACTGGCTAAATCAATGGAGAGGCAACAGTGGGGTTTTCTGTAATTTCAGTGGGGCAGAAATTTTGTAGATATGTAATCCAAAAAAATATAAATAAAAAAAGTATGTATATGACTCCATAATAAAAATTTCAGTGTCACTAATAGTCTGACAGTGATTTGCATTAACAGAAGAAATATAGGGCAAAGTAAAATTAACATAACTGGTTTAATTTCTTTCCCATAATTTAGTATTTAAATTGAGGTTTCTGTTCATGTTTTAATGACAAGGAGTAGTCTAGAGAACAAGAGTTGAGATATCAATAGCCCCCCCACTCTCTCTCTCTCTCTCTCTCTCTCTCACACACACACACACACACACAGTGAAGAGACCTGTCAAATGTGAAGGAAAGAAACAGAAATTGATAAGACCAGTCAAATGTAAAAAAGAAAAAAAAAAAAAAAAAAACAAAAAACAAAAAACAAAAAAAAAAGAAAAAGGAAAAGAAAACTTGCATGGGTATGAGGCATAAAAGATTGCAATTTTGGGGGCCTTTGTTTCTCTCCTCATGTTTATATAAACCTGACCTCTTAGATTGTCTCAGACCCACACTTTTTTCCTTTCTTTTCTTTTCCTTTCCTTTCTTTCCCCCGACTGCAACCTGTGTATCCAAGAGTATCAAATCACTACCCATTCCTTCTTTCTCTCCCATCATTTTCTTCAACCCTTTCCATTTCCAATTCCAAAGCCCTCATATGGCAGCCTTTTCCTACCAACACCACCCTTTTCTTGTTGACTCTGTTTTCACTCCCATTAAGATGTCTGGCTTTTCTGAGGAACCAAACAACACCACCACCACCACCACCACTTTTTCTCAATTTCACCCTTTTGAACCTCCTCCTCTTCAAGATCATCATCATCAACAGATTAATCCTGTTCATGAAAGTAATAATAATAATGAACCTTCTGTCATGACTTGCAAACACAGTACAGATTCTTCAATATCAGTGGCTGATCATAAGCTTGAAAGTGGTGAACAAGTCACACAGAAGGTCTCTCCCATGGACAAGAAGAGAAAAAACAGAGATGGCTCTTCCTCCTTCAGTACTTCTGTTCAGTCCAAGGTAAATTAACATTATACAAAACACACACACACACACACACATTTATTGGAGTTATGTGTACTTGGTTGTTCTTGATTTATTAGATTTTGTAACTATTGATCTTAAAAAATGGATGATGAATTTGGAATTTTTTGTGATACTCTAATAATATTGCCCAATATTTTGATACTAGGATATTGTGAGAGAAGTGAAAGACAAGAAGCAAAAGAAATGTAGTGGGGTCATGAAAGATGTTGAAGAAAAGAAGGCCAAAGCTGATAAGGAGGAGCAGAAGAAAGTTTCTGAAGAAGGTCCAACAGGTTACATTCATGTTAGAGCAAGGAGGGGCCAGGCAACAGACAGCCACAGCCTTGCAGAGAGGGTACTACTATTCATAACTAAAGCCCCTTTTGAACTAACCAACATATATATATATATATATATATATATCCTTGAATTTATACAAAAATTCCCATTTTACCCACACAAAAGAACCAAGGTTTTATATCACAGATATCTGCCCAAAAATGGTCACCCAAACAATGCTTAACTACTCATGCCTCACTTTACCAATTTTTTGTTTTTCTGAAAATGGTTTTCAGGTAAGGAGAGAGAGAATAAGTGAGAGGATGAAGTTGTTGCAATCTCTTGTTCCTGGCTGTGACAAGGTGAAATTCACTACTCTTATCTTCATTTTATTTTATTTTATTTTATTTTTTTTTATCGACAAGAAATTCATGTACCCATTTGTCTGGAGACTCGAACCATCGGCTTCCACTTTAGAGGCAGAGGAGATACACCTACAGCCTTAGGTGGTACTTAGTGTCTTCAGCATACTCTTTTAGGTTTATTACTATCCTGACAGTCCATATGGCTTGGTTTTGAAAATAGGTAACTGGAAAGGCCCTTGTGTTGGATGAAATAATCAACTATGTCCAGTCCCTACAAAATCAAGTAGAGGTAATATATATATTCACATACCGTTTGTTGTAGCTAGTTTATGATCTCAGTACTGTAAATTTAATTCAACTGGGACATTGATATATATATATATGTGTGTGTGTGTGTGTTTTCATGAAATTTTCAGTTCCTCTCCATGAAGCTTGCTTGTGTGAATCCCATGTTCTCTGACTTTGGAATGGACTTGGATACATTCATGGTTAGTCCTGAGGTATATAATTAAAGACATTAGTAATACATATATAGATATTTATTATATCATTATCATGATGACTATATATATAGCTATTATTATTATTGGACACTGAAGCTGATGTGATCTTTGTCTCTGACATGAATATAATTAAAAAAATTCCCAGCAGGGATCAAGTGGCTTAACAACTCCACAGCCAAACGTGCAGCAACAGTGCAGCCCAGCCCAGCCCACTGTTTTTTCTGATGCAACAACCACCTTCACCACAACCATTAACTATCCTCTTCTGGACACTCCATCTAATTCACTTGTATTTCAACAAGGACAGAGCAGGCCAAATGTTCTCTCTCAGGCCCAGGCATGTTTTTAATTTACTTCATGCATTAATTGCTATATCCACAACTATTAAATATTCAGAAAATTACATATATATATATATATATATATATTAAAGTTAAAAAAAAAAAAAAAAAATCCCAAAAGTTTCTAACTTGGACAAATACATCATTTTCAGGATAATGGACAGCTCTTATGGGGGGATATGGATGACCACAGACAAGAATCCATTAGTCAATCTACATTCAGCAACAACTTGTATTCTTTCCATTAATATGGTACCTAGCTAAAACTGCCCTACAAACATTTGGTAAGCCCTCAAATCACTGTCTCATGTATTATATATCTATATAGATAAACATAAAATAAAAAAAATAAATTATATATGTATGCAAACACGCAACACATGGGTATTGAGCTCATTTGTTCCAAAAGCTAAAGACATCAAACAAATGAACACATATATACTTGTTGACTACTTGCCCATTATGAAACAAAAAGTAAGGGTATGAAAAGTTTAATAGTGAGTGTGTCCAAGTGTCTATAATTTTTGGACAGTGAATCTCAGACCTAATTGTCTAACCGAGAATGCTAGCCGAGAGATTAATTTCTTTAATGTATTGGATCCAACGCATTCAAGGAATAGAAATCCTAAGGCTAGCATTCTCGGTTAGAATTTTCGTTCCAAATAGCATTGTCGATATTTTTTACCCCCTCTTCTTTTTCATTGACATTGATCTACTCTTTTTCCGCAGCAGCAGAACTAGAGGAAAGAAACCAAGAAATCAAAATAGGCCACTTAGTCTCTGATTCCAAGACCAGTTCATCAATGAAAGAAGCAAAATCAATGGATTGAGAGACACAAAAGGACAACATATAACCAGCCAAATAAGACTAGATATTTTGTAGATCCCTTGTTTCTTGTCCAATTAATTGACTCCCAAAGTCATCAAAGCACAAATTCCTAGAGATGGGGGTTGTTGTTGTTGTTGTGGTGAAACCTATAAATAGTGCAAATGATGTGAAAAAAATAGTGATATTATTCATATTGAATACTAGTATGATGATTCTTCTTATTGTGCAACAGTTGTTCTGTTATTATAGTTAATTTTACCGTTGTGTTTCTTGTCTTTTGTTATACTGTATTTGGAGAGTGAATGTTTGAATGAAGGATGGATTGTTTGTTGACGTGACTAGATATATGCATTGGTTTAAATGTGAGGGGGTACGGAGGAATCTTACTGTGTTTTTTTGGTGTTTTTGGTGTTATTATGTATGGTGATCAGTTGAAGTTTCAAGGTGAATTCCCCACTATCCACTTATTTTAACGGTTTAGGACAGGGCCGCAGGGCATCTAACCATCCAAATACGGGTTAGGTAATATGAGTGTATATACAAATATGTATGTATGTATATATATATATGCACATGTACAAACAGATTCTCCCCATGGCCCATGGGTACATTTGTGAATATGCAATGTAGATTTTGGTTGAAAATATATTTTTTTTGAAAGGCAAGTTATTTTCAATTCGAGAAGCCATAGAACCAGCAATATTCCTTTGCAACTTCTCTGTCTTAAACTAGTTATTTGGGCAAAAATTTAATAAATAATTAAAATAATAAATAAATAAATTAGTGGTGTAATATTTTACCAACACAATGATATTGGCATTTAGAGGCATTTTGCAATCTTTCAATAGTTTATTTAGGAGGTTGTTTTACACTTTTGCCTTTAATTTTTTTTCGTAATATTATCACCTTCAAAAAATAGTTATCTATCTTTCTCAATTTTATCAATTCTGAAATTCGTGTTTCATTTGAAAAGTCAATGAAGAAAGATTGTAAATATTTCATTTTGGATATGCGATAATATTAGACAGGTTTTTAATTAAAATAATCACATTCGTGAGATGGTTGAAGAAACATCTATTGGGATAAAATGAGATAAATTCGTTTGAGATGGCTTTGATACGTGCAAAGAGGATTTTAAGTATATGTTTGTTAAGAAGACCATCGTAGGCCTCATTAAAATTAATACTAGGGGAAACTAGAGACTAATGTTAACATGCCTAAATTTATATAGTAAAGAAGGATAGGATAACATATGATTTGACTATGACTAAGATAGTGTAAAATAAAAACATAAATTTTCTCACTCAAGATTTTGGATTCATCATTTTTTTCTCCCCACACGCATCATTTAAATCAAGAGTACAATTCGAAAGCGAAATTTTAAGAATTTACCTCCCTAATCCTTACCACCACGCTATGCCCATGAGAACTTTTGGATTCACCAATTAGTGGGGCACCAACTCCGTCGGCTCATAAAGCTCTCATAAAACATAAAATCATCCAACTATTCTATGTTTTATAGTGGGGCACAACATTAGTCAACTCTTTATAAACTAATCAAGAACCAATAGTTTGAAACTAGTCATTATGTACCAGCCCTTAGGAACTAGGCATTGTAGGTTAACCTTTAAAACCTAGCCGTTGAGAAGAAAATTTCAAAGAGGTGACAAGTGGGATTCAATTTCTTCCCACAATACTCACCATAATCTTTGTGATTATTTGTGTACTACATCTACACGTGATAATTGATATAGATTATCGATGATCCTCACAAGTCATAAGTCCTAACAAATCACTTAGACAGTCTTCTTTAATAACAACAATCTAGAGCCCAAGATAAGTCAATTCAATCTTTATTTAGAGTGACAAGTCCCATCTTTTGCAGTGTTTGATAATTGTAAGCTATAGAAACAACCTATTGGTAGGCAGGGGCACTTGTTAAAAGAGGTAATTTTTATTTACCTTTATAAAAAATTATTAATATTTCACATAAACCTCTCTATATTTTATAATCTCACTTATATAATTTCTCTCTTGTTCTCGTTTATATAACAATTCCCCTCTGCCTGACCATTTTGCCCTTTTAATATCTAAAATGGTAGCAAACGTTTCATAGGCAAAACGGTAAATTTTTTTACCATTTTTCCCTTTTAATCGGGGCAATCCCTGTCTAAAATTCCTTCCCCCTTTCTTGAACATTTTGCCCTTTTAATATCTAAAGTGACAACAAACGATAAAAAAAAGTCATTGATAGAAAAGTAAATGAGATTATAAAACATAAATGGGTGTATTTGAAATATTGACAATCTTTAGGAGAGGTAAATAAAATTTACCCACAGAGATTACAAGAGTGTATAAAATGACTTCTCTTGACCAAAAAAAAATCAACATTTTCACTCTTGGTCCCTACTTTTACCATTGCATGATTATATCAATCGATAATCACTTCAATTCATTCTCTCTCCCCTTTTCTTTTTCTTTTTTCCTTTTATTTTTGTTTTTGTGAAGAATTATATTCACTCAAAAATTCTTTAGAAAAAAGTATGAGAGGGGCAATACCCCCTGTACAAAAACAATGGGCTAAAGCCATAGTAAGAGAATTTAAGGGGCTTGACTTAACAACCCTAAGCTGCAACAACCATCAGATAGAAGATTCATTGTATTTGCCTAGTTATTTCATTGTCGATTTAAAATTATCATATTAACGATTTAAAAGTTATTGCTTTGTCAATTTTAAACACACAGGACAAAAAGAAAAACGTGAGAAGATCCTTGCCCATCCTTAACCATCATCCAACTAGCTCTTGAAGTTGAGGACCTTCCTTTGACAACCTTTTTTAAACCTTCGAACCCCTTTGGTTTTACACTCTCAAAAATTCTTTTTGTCTGTGTGTTCATGCTATGATAATCTTTCTGTCAAAGTTTTATTAAAATTAGCTTATACTTAACCAGGGTCTATATCCACCATCCTAATGGATTTAAGTAGAAATTAAATCATGTTTTGTATACAATTAATTACTAATTTCATGCAATTTTAGGTTTGATGAATTAATTTCATGAAACTAATTGCTAATTTCATGCAATTTGGAAAAAACTAAAAAAATGACCCTTTTTCATATACATTTTTCAAAATTGGATTTTTAAAAGAATTTCCATAGTATGTTTGAGCAAAATATTCATTCTTAAAAATCATTTTTGCATCACTGGGAAATTCCCACAAATTGAATCAAAAGTGCATCATTTTAGAAAAACTCTTAAAATTACGATTTTGAAATCCAAAATTGATACCGTTTTAACTAAATTTACAGAGATTTTTTACTCAAAAATATTCTAAAAATCACATATGCATCATCCCCAAAAAGCCTTGTACACTTAAATTTTGTATCCAAAAATCTAGGAACAAAAATAAATGCAACAAATAACAATTTTATTAAATATCAAGAAAAATGGGTACAATCCTCTGTTGGCGATTCTATTATAGTCTAGAATTACCCTCTGATTAAATCTCCTTAGGAAATCGGTACAAGGGCGTCAGAAGCCTGATCTTTAACTAGTGGTTGAATTTTATTTGAGTTTTTTAAAGTTGAAGAAGACTCAAATGGATCGTCGAACGAGGCCGGTGGACCTCGATCTCGAACAGTGAGTGCCCGTTTGATATGCGCTTTGTTTTAGGTGATTCGTTTTTTGCTAAAGCAGAAACAGCGTTTTTGCTATAAGAGTGTTTTGTAAAAAAATCGGAAGCATGTTTGTAAACGATGATTTGCTATGAAAATGTCGGAAACAGAAACATGCAAAACATAGTTGGTAAGTCATGCGTTTCAAGAATTTTAAAGACAAAATATGTTTGGTCACTCCAACTGTTGCCAAAAAATAAATAAAATAGAAACAAAAAACATGTTTGGTTATTATTGTTTTTAATTTGTTTTTATAAATTTTAAATTTATTTATAAATTTATTTCTATATAAATGGTTATCATATTTTTAATAGATATGGTGAAATTTAAACACACAAACATATATATATATATATATATATATATATATATATATATATTTATATATATTTATTTATTTATTTATTTTTGGCCTATAATAGTTCTCATTACTATACTACATGAGAATCAACATCTGTAACTTTTTTCGTCCAAACTTGAACTCAATATCACATTTTATGAAATGGTAATAAATAGCCATTAAATTTTATAATATATTTACAAAAATGTCTAAAAAGTACATTTTAATAATTCAAATATTATCAATATTTTTTCATATATAACTATATAATAAGTGGCTATAAAAGCCCTAAAAAAATTTGCAATAACCTGCTTCAATTTTATTATCCTGTTACCTGTATAGTCCAACACAATATTAAAAATAAAAACAAACCCAACTGAAAGCATAATTGAAATAGAGGGTAAACCATTTACAAGTGCTTAAATATTCAACCAACAAATTAAACAAGTTTAAGTTATATATAAAATGTTTAAAACAAAGTATTAACAATACATATTTGTCACTAAAAATTGATTATATGTTCATAAAGTAGATGACAATGGCAACGACACATCATCTTCATAACAACACACATCACCTTCAAGAGAGCATCAACACACTTCATATCTATAATGGTAGCATTTAAGTTGAAATATATTAACAATAATAGCAGCCATTAACAGTAACAACAAAATAACAGGTAGTAATAGTAACAACAAAAATAACGTATATTACATATGTATATTCCAAGCCCACAATAGCGACAAATATATTATATATAAAAGAAAAAACATATCATCACTTTCAGGAGGATCAACAGTGCCCAAGAGAATTCTAGATTCGATTAGCAATAGTATTACGCAACTGATCCATTTCTCGAAGCTGAGCCGAAGGCCCATGCTCAACAATCTCATCGTCTTCACCATCACTTTGAGGAGGATCGTCACCATCAAATAAATCATCAGGCTGATGCTGATTTCTAATGAAGTTATGTAATGTGCAACAAACTATTGCAATCAATACTTGTGTTGAAAACTTATAAGGAGGCATTGCCCTCAAAATAGCAAATCTCATCTTCGACAACCCAAAGCATCGCTCAATTATATTTCTTAAAGATGAATGCCTATGATTGAACACTTCCTCCCGACCACGGGGTGGTCTATTCCTACGGTATTCCTGAAAGTGGTAAGTATGACCTCAAAATGGGGCCAAATAACCAAGCCTATTTGCATACCCTGAGTCCACCAAATAATACTTACCTGCCATGTTTAGAAT